GATTCCTGTTGTTTGTAGAGGGCACCATGTTTATCGGAAAGGTCTTTCTCAGGTCAGGCCTGACATTGTCCTGCCCTGGTGGTCAGACAGGGCTGCATCCAGCCTGGGACCAGTATGGCGCAGTCATTGGCAAGGGGGCAGGTGAGGCCCCGAGGAAGCAAGGAGGACAGGAGAGTGGGCATCATCCTCAGGCACCCTGGGAATGCTTGCACTCAGGCTTCAAGAAAAGCCCAACAGGAGGGGCTGGGGATTTAGCTCAGCGGCACAGCACCTGCCTAGCAAGCGCAAGGTCATGAGTTCGATTCCCAGTACCGGAAAAAAAAAAAAGAAAACCCAACAGGTGAGAGGTGGCCATTACTGCTGTGGCTGAGATTCAGCTTCCTGGAGGACTATAGGAGCCATGGTCAGAGCCTCTACCTGGGAGCAGGCACCGAGCCCAGCAACCTACAACAACAGGATGGTGTGGGAGGCCTGGGGGGCCGGCAGGGCCAGGGAGGCCTGACTTTGGGGTGTAATGTGCAGCATGTAGGGTCGGGGCCAAGCTACTCCCTCAGGCCTATACTGACCTCGTTGCCTCCCTCCTTGGCCCACCCAGACCCCAGCCCCAGCTTCATGGAATACCCCTGGAACTGAAGGAGGAGCCTTGGTCTTGGAGGAGGAGCCTGTAGCACAGTGGGCCCCTTCTCCCCTCAGTTTTCTCCTTCATGAATGGGGTAGGGGCGCTTCACCTAGAGTGATCCATGACCTCATAAGAGGCGCTGGGGACAGGGAGCATCCGACTGCCTTGGGAACATGGCAGCCAGAGAGAGAGGAGATGCCAAAAAGGGTAGATGGGCTGGACTCCACTGCCTGTGCCAGGGGCTGCCTGCGTAGGCAGATGGTCCCACTCACCAGGAGCCTTGTAAGGCGGCGTCTGGAGTAAGGTCACCATGCAGCCACCTGACATCCCCGTGAAGGACCACTGGTGTGCAGAGACATAAGTGGGCCCACCTCCTTCCAGGACACCCTTGCCAGCACTGGGTGCTCAGATGGGCTTGTGTTCATGGAGACAGGACAGGGCCTGTGGACCCCCACTGGTGGTACATAGGGAGGACGCCAGGGCACCCCAAGGCACAGGTTTTGGGGGTGGTCCTCCTGCCTCCATGGGAAGGTGGGAAACTGCATTGCTATAGTGTGACCCTCCCAGATCTGAATTTCCCTCTGCCCTCCTGTGGGCAGAGTGGCCTCAGTGCACCTGTCTTTATGGTGGAGCTGGACGCCTGAGGAGGGGCTGTCTCTCGTGTCCTTGGGAGAGGCAGGAGAGTGCCGGGCCTCTTCAACCTCATTTCCTAGCTGTATAATGAGGGCTCCAGGCCCAAAGTGCTTAGGGCCATGTGACAGGACAGGAATAACCCTGAGCCTTTCTAGGTCTGTCCGCTGTTATTCACTGCACAGCTGCTATGTGCCAGAACCCTGCCTCACAGAGCTTCTGTTCTGCCTGAGGAAGCAAGTTAAACAAGAGAGCAACAAGTTAAAGTAAAAAGTGACAGTTGGGGCAAGAGTTCACCAAGGAAGCCACAGCAGGAGCTGCAGGCAGAGTTCCCAGGAGCAGGAAACAGCAGGCACAAAGTCTTGGAGGTGGATGGGGCTGGCACTCCAAAGGCTGGTGGAATGAGCTTGGTCGGGACAGGATGGCAGGAAGAACAGGCAGGAAGTGGGGGGGGCACTACAGGGGGCATCCAATCCCCCTGGTCCCAGAAACCCAGGTGTTGTTGTTATGGTTTGTGTCTGAATGTCCTCTCAAAGCCTCATGCAGTCATGGGGCAGGTTTCTAGAGTTTATGATTGATTCATGATCCAGTATTGGGATTATGGGTGTGAGTGCTACACCTGCCCTGGGGCAGGTAGTCTGCATACAGTGTAAGGGAAGGAAAGAGCCTTGCTTCCCTCCCCTTCTGCTCTTGCTGCTTTTGCTGTTTTCCGCTGCCATAAACTGTTGCCCTCTGCCATGTGCCACTCTGCTTTGGAGACAGCTGAGTATGGACTGAAACCTCCATAAACTGTGAGCTAAATAAACCTGTCCTTCCTGAATTTTGGGTGCCAGGTATTTTGTCTCAGCAATGAGAGAAAAGTAACCAAGACAGTCATTCAGTGCATCTGCTCCCAGGGAGCTGGGTACTCAGGCAGCGAGGCTCACAGCAAGTAGCAGCAGGGTCTGGTGCATGAACACATGAACAGTGAGTGAAGCCCAGCTGGTCCCTAACTCCCTGTGCGACCTCAGGCAAGTGCACACCCCTCTCTGGGCCTCAGTTTCACCCCTTCTAAGATGCCACCAGAGTCATGATTCTCTTCTCAGGTGGTTGCGAGGTCTGCTTAGCCTGCAGCCGTTCCTCTTTGCAGGACTGTGGGGACAGCCAGCAGCCCACTCTGGGCTTGGAGGAGAGGCAGTCAGCAGCTGCTGTGGAGACCCACAGGCCCCGTTCAGAGAGCTCTACAGCAGCGTTTGAGGAGCCAGGCTCCTCGCCTCCGCTTTCTTCCCTTTTCCCCTGCGCAAAACCCGATGTTTAACCCGATGTTCTCTAAGCCCTGCTGTGGAGGGGCACAAGGAGCCCCGGCCTGCAGGCCATGTGGGCAGCAGTCAGGCAGGCACAGCAGATCCCCCACGCAGGACCTGACTGTAGTGCCGATCAGGCATCTGCTGCAGGGACCCCTCCCCAACCCACCCAGGGGGTCCCTTCCTCCCAACCTGGGGTGGTCTCCTCCACCTGCGAAGGTCAGGGCTGGCCTGGGGTGGGGAGGATGGGAGGAGGGGAGAGGCCAAGTGCCAGTTCATCTGGTATGCAGCCGCTGTCACTGCCCCCCAGATGGGTGGTGGCATGTGCCTGGGGTGTGGGAAAGGCCAGAGGTGGGCAGTGTGGAGAAGGCTGGGCAGCCCAGGTGCACAGGTGTGGAGACCTCAGGCAGCTGCTCCTCTGCAGCCCTCTTGCTGGCTGCACCGTCCGGGAGAGGAACAGCAGCAACAGCCACTAGCGCAAGAGCAAAAGGAGCTCAGAGCTGGGCCAACTGGAGTCTGGCACATCCTTGTGGCGGGTGACAATCCAGTCGAGGGGCACATCCTGCCCCAGGCCTGAGGTGACACCTTGTCCCTGCAGAGTCACTTCTGGGGCCTGGGGAACCCCACAGCAGACTCTAGGCCCCCACAGACTGCATGCCCTGCTGGAGTTGCTGTGCCCCATGTGCCTGCTTCCGTGAGACTCTCAGGAGCCTCCCCTGTGTGACTTTTTCCTCAGCTCTAGGGTGAGAATTTCCGGGTAGTGGTGAGATAACAGGGGCAGTAGAGGTTAGAGTCTGGCGCTTTAAAAGAGCCCTGGTAGGGTTGGAGCAGGTGGTCACAAGAGAGGGGAGAGTGTGGCTCAGAGGAGAGGCGCACAGCAGAGTTTCCACCAGTAGGTGGCGCCCTCCCTCCTCCTCAACCCCTGCCCTGCCCTGCCCAGGAAAGGGACCAGTGGGATGACTGTGCGATTCTTTCAGCAGCAGCTGCCCAGACCTGGCCCGGTTCCCAGGTGGGCACTATTCGGTGCAGAAGCGCATCGGTAGCTTCACCTCTCTGAACCTGTTTCCTCAGTGTGAAACAGGATCAGGGCATCCAGCAAAGTGCGGTGAACACAGGGCAGAGGCCCAGGTGAATATGGGGGCTTCCATACAGCCCACCTGTATCTCTCACCTCACCTGTGTCCCAGCCTTCCTTACCTCTGCCTCATTCCATACCCATGTGCCCTCCACCACACCTGTGCCTCCCTACATCTGTGATTCTGCAGCCTCACCTGTGATGATCACTTCTTTCTGGCTCCTATATCCTGCTTCCCTCAGCCTCCATGTAGCTGTCCCCACAGGGTGCTATGCGAGTGTTAGAGGTTGGGGGTCCTGTAGCCCAGAGCCCCATCACTAGCCTCTAAGTCTTCTCCCTCTCCCAGAGGTCCTCAGGGCTTGGTGCACACATCATGTCCACCTCCATGACTTTGTTCATGTGCCCATGTCATGGTTTATATCTAGGTGTCCTTCCAAAGCCTCCTGTGCTCATAGGTGGGGCTTTGAGGAGGTGACTGGGTCGTGGGTGTGGGATACTTATCACTGATTAGTCCACTGATGGGTTTATGGTTGGGTGTGATGTTGGGAGGTGAAGCCGGGTTGGAAGAGGTGGGTCACTGGGGACATGACCTGGAAGGGTCTAACTCCCTCCTCCTCCCTTGATCTCTCTGGTTTCTGCTGCCATGCCATGAGCTCTTTCTCCTCTGCCATGCTGCCCTGCCTTGGAATGGGCTGATTATGGACTGAAACCACTACAAGCTCTGCCTCCTTTAATTTGTGGGTGCTGGATATTTTGTCCCAGCAATGAGAAAGCTACTAAGACACTCTACATCTTGAACACAAGACCCTTACCCTCAGTACAGCACAGCCACGCGCCCAACCCTCACAGGACCAGGGATTCAGAGTTGCTCCTGGAAGTGACTTGGTCACTTGTCCTCTACTCCTCCCCCAGATGTTCGCCTTGTGAGTGACCCCACCAAGGAGAGGAGGAGAGAATGCTGAGGCTGTACCCACTTGCTGACACTCAGCATTTATTTAAGTGGAGAAGCACTGCATCTGCCTGCAAAGAGGCAGCCACAACATCCCATAGCTGCCACTAGGGTCAGGCAGTATGTATCCAGGGTGGCCTGGGAGGCCACCGTTCATCCCTCCACAGGTGGCTTCAGCCTTGCCAGAGGGCAGAGAAGGGATTGGAGCCCAAGGGGAGCAGATCATAGTGCAGCTCACACAGTGCAGACTGGAGGCGTATGATGGCTGTGTTTAGCTGTTCCCCCAAAGCCTCATGCGGACACAGGTGGGGTTTTTTCAGAGATGGCTGAACCCAGAGTATGTGATGCTAGAGTTAAGAGTGTGTGATTACTAAATCAGTCCACTGATTTAGCACCACCCTAATCCCGGTAGCCTGGATACAATATAAGGGACAGAAAGGGGATGGTCTTCTCCCTTGCTTGCTTTGCTTAGGCCTTCTGCCTACCACGAACTGTTTCTCCTCTGCAATGCCTGTCTGCCATACCACACCCGCTCCACTGAGCCAGCCGATTAAGGACTAAAACCTGTACGAACTGTGAGCTACATAAACCTTTCCTCCTTTATCTGTGGGTGTTGAGTATTTTGTCTCAGTAACAAAAGAAAAATAACTAAGACAAGGGGAGAGGTGAGGATGGGGTGCAGACAGCCCTACTAGCTCCAGCGGTGACTGCAGACGAGGAGGGACATTGCCAACCCTGGGCAGCACCCACACAGTCTTCTGCCTTTTGGAGATGGCACCGGAGCTCAGCCTGCTCAGAAGACAGGTATTTGGATAGCGGCCCATATTCCCTGCTCTGGGCACACAGCTGGGGCTGAAACTGCAGGCCAAGCTCTTGCCTTGGACTTGCTGGGTCATCCTGGGCAAGGTTGTTCCTCTCTGGGCCTCAGTTTCCTCCAGAAGATGCCTGGGGACCAAATGACCCAGCTCCAGGCCATCAGCCTATCTTCAGCATCCCAGGACTCGCATTCGTTCACATGGCTCTGATGTCACCTCCCTGGAGAGCACAGGCCCTGTGCGGCAGTGTAAAGAGCAGCAGGAGGCACTGTTCATGGAGCGGCTGTGCCTGCCAGGCCCTGGGGTTGCAGGATGTCCACACTGTCCTGAGCTGTATCCCTGTGGGCAGCAGTGTTCAGAGCCTCCAGCCAGCGCCGCTGTAGCTCTGAGGAGGAGGCACTCAGGTACCAGGTCTGCTGGTCCTGCTGCAGCCTCCATGTGTGTCCAGCCTCCTGTGCCTCCTTGGGGTCTGGCACATGCACGGTGCAGCTGGGCAGATGGATGGTGTTCAGCAGCGGGCCATCCTGCAGCACAAGAGAGAAGCTCAACGAGTCCCCTCAGGCAGCCATGCCCAGATGCCCATGGTGCCAAGAGGACACTGAGCCAGGTAGGCCTAGTGGGCATGGCTGCCCCACCTCTGTTAACAAGACAGGCTGCCCAGGGGCTCTCCCTAAGGGATGACATCTCACTGGACACAGACCCTGTGGGACTGCCACCCAGAGGAGGAGGAGCAGGACAGCACCTGGGACACAGGGTAGAGCATCTGGCACCAAAAGGCATGGAGCAAGGGTCCCAGATGGGGGCAGGGCTACATGCGTCAGGTCCTGCAGCTTCCCACCTCACCCAGGATGTGTGAATGAAAGAATGTATGTGGAAAGGAGGGGTCAGCCCTGTGCCCTTTTCCTGCCCCACCTCTAACCCTGACTGGATCTGGAGTCCCGACATGAGCTCCTGTCTTCCTGGAGTGAGGAGCAGAGGCACAAAAAGAAACTGAGGCTCCAGGGCACATTGCCGGGATGTGGGTCGGCACCAGCAGTGCAGCCCACACCTGCAGCAGGCAGCATAGGGCCAAGGGTCTGGGGGTAGGAGGGGGTATGAGACACACACCTGGCTACTTCTCTGCAGCCGCAGCACCTGAGGGGCTGAGGTGGGGATGGCAGCCCACACCTCATTCCAGGCCACACCATCCTCCGACAGCTGCAGGGGGCCGCAGAGCACGCTGGGCTGGAGATCTGCGGTGGACAGCTTCCGAGACACAGAGACACAGTTTAGAGGTGGTCTCACCTGCAGTGGTCAGTCCCTTTCCAGGAGGCAGGGCCAGAGCCCCTATTTGGAAGGAGCTGGCCCCTGAGATGCAGTAAGCACTGGACAGAGGCTGGGCCCAGACTCACTTGCTCCTGTGGCCACTTGAGGCCAGACTGAGGGGTACAGGTGCCATGTGGCCCCAGCCAGGGTTTGTAGCCTGACCCTCTAAGGGGAGGGAGACCACTGGCCAGGTTGGGACATCACCAATACACCAGGGGAAATCCAACAGCAAGTCCCCAGGTGTGAGTCCCATAATGAAGAGACTATGTGTGCCTCAAATCTACGTGCACCCCACACACCACATATTACACACACACACACCACATGAATGCACATGTGTACACCTCTCTCCATCTCTCCATCTCTGTCTCTCTCCCTTTCCCTCTCCCTGTCTCTGTCTGTCTGTCTCTTTAGTACTTAGGACTGAACCCAGGGCCAGTCTGAGCTACATCCTAGCTCTTTTGAAAAAGTTTATTTTGAGACAGGGGTCTTGCTAAGTCACTAAATTGCTCAGGATGGGCTCTGACTTTTGAGTGATTCTGATGCCTCAGCCTCCCAGAGTGCGAGGATTATAGGCATGCACCACTGTCTGGCTTGACCCTCCCTCTTCTGTGAGGTATCTTAGACCTGTTATAAGGACATGTTTTCCTGAGCCATCCAGACATGGTTCTGACAGCACTTGCTGGATGGGGCCCCTTAGGACCTGGTACTCCTTCCAGGACTGAGACTACTCACAACCCTGGCACTCCAAGGACATCTCTCAGGGTTGAAATGCAGGAATAAGACAGCCCAGCAAGAGGCTTCACCACTGGGACCACTCTACCCTGATCCTAACAGTCCTACCTCCTTGACTTCTTAGACAGACCCAGATCAGGGTCCCCCGCAGCTGTGAGTGAGCCAGGACAGCTAGGGGCTCTGAAAATACCCTGACCCCAGCCCACCCCACCACCCCACTGTGAGTAAGGAGGGAAACCAGGAGTGGAGCCGACACATGTTCCATTCCCATCTACTTTGGACTGCAAATGGTCCCTTAGCCGCAGCCCTGACTGAAGCCCAAGGTGCACAGGGCGCCATCTTTTGCATTCCGTTGCTGATTGCTCCAAGTGGCTGTCCCGGCTCCAGGCCTGTGGACCCTGCTGCGAAGCCTCCCCATCGGTTCTGGTCCCAGGAACCAAACTACCCACCTGCATGCTCTGCTTGGGCTCAGTGGATGACTCGGTGCTGGGGATTGTGGGGGCCACAGGCTCAGTCAGAAAACACCCTCTGCAGACACGGCTCTGTCTGCTGTTCTCAGCCTTGAACTCAGAGCACTTCCCACAGATGACCTACAAGACAGACGGCACTTATGACCCCATGTCTTGTCAGCGGCAGAAGAGGGACCTAAGAGTGTGGGGTGAAGTAAAGGCTTCTCCGGAGCCCCATCTGAAGGCAGAGAGCGAGGACAGTCCCCCTGAGTGCCCAGGACCTGCCCTCCCCACCACAACACCCAGGTCCAAGGATCTGTGTGCAAGAGTGGGAAGAACCACCAAGCACACAAGGAGACCCCACATCAGAATGACCCCATCCCGGTCATCAGGAAGACACAGATCAAAACCTCACACCCTGAGAATGCCTAGTCTCCAAAACAAGAGGCAAACGCACCCAGAGGCATTGCGAGGACCCTGTGCTACTGGTGAGATGGACAATGGGGCAGCTGCTGTGGGAGACGGTGCAGCGGTTCCTCAGAAACTTAAACAGAACCACCCCGCAGTAAGAGCCAGCAATGGCACTTCCAGGTATGTATTCAAAACAACCTATGCAGGATCCTGAAGATCCTGCCCAGCTGTGTCCACACCATCACCACCCACAAGACCCAGGAGGTGAAGCAACCCCAGTGTCCACTGATGGATGAGTCTAGAAATCGCCGTACCACAGGGAGCATTGTTTGGACAGGTGGGTGGCACATGGGAATGAAGCCAAAGGCCCCCAGTGATGCGTCCACAACTCTCGCAGTCCTGATCCCCACCGCCTCACCCACTGGCATGGCAGACCCCGCTGCTTCTCGAGCTATCAGTGCTCTTCTCTCTCTCGTCTCACATTCCCTTTGTGCTGGATCTTCATCCTGCACGTAAACCTTTTCTCCTGTCTCAGCACCATCCACACACGTCCCTTCAGCCTCTCCTTTACCCTGGCCACTGGCACCCTTGGCAGGTGTTGCCTGGTCACCCCATCCTGGCCTCCTCATGGCCAAATGCAGGGATGACTTTGATTCTAGAGTCTATGGGTCCTTGTAACATGGACCTCCTCTCTTCAGTTGCTTACCTGTCCCTGGTCTGTTTCCCATGCCCTCCTGACCCCATTAATTAACACTGGGGAACCCAGAGAGCACCACCGTCTCCCAGTGTCTTCACCCTTGGCCACTGCACTGGCACATGCTGGCCGTCTCTTCACTTGGCATTGGTCAGCTGGCCTAGGCTCCCCTTCTCTCCCAGCACTGCACTGGGGCTGGGCGAGGCAGCCCTTGCATCTCTCATCCACCCTTCCATTCCTTGCTCACTGAAGACAGCAGCCTCCAGCCTTCTCCCGTACACTCTGCACCCTACACGTGGTCATTGGAACCCACTGCGCAAATCCTCTACCTGTCCTTGCTGGTTTCCCTGAGCCTGTACACATCTTAGGCATGAGTCATAGCCTATGAAAGAGACTGTGCTCCCCATGCCCTTTTGCTCATCTACCAAGCCACCTACTCCCATCCATCCATCCATCCAACCATCCACTATCTATCCGTCCATCCACCATCCATCTACCACCCATCCATCCATCCATCCACCCACCCATCCATCCACCATTCATTTATCTATCCAACCACCCATCCATCTAGCCACCCACCAATCCATCCATTATCCACACAACCATTCATCCATCCAAAGACTCATCTATTTATTCTCCCCTTCTGCCAACTCTGGTCAGCATGACAAGGTTTTATGAAAAGGTGCAACAAGGAGCACCAGTCTAGGCACAGGTGCTGGTACCCTTTGGTAACACAGCTCCCAGACAGCTCTCTGCTAAGATCCACTTGCTGATATAGATGTAATTTTAATAGCTTAACCTAAAAATACTGGATCACCAGTTCCTTCCTTGGGTTACTTTGAAGTTCAGTACTGAGCAATGACTCAGCCGCCCATTCTCAGATGCCAGGGTGCTGGAGATGACTGAAGAGGAATGTAGATGGTGTGTGCTGGGGGCTGCTCCTCACACAAAGCCACCAGACCTTTGTCATTGCTGGAGCGCGGAGGCAAAGGCCAGCAGGAGGGCTTTTCCACTCCTCCTTCATGCCAGGGGCACTGTGCTTCCAAATCTAGCCCTTTTTCTGCTGCAAAGAACATTTGTTGGACTCCGGAGCTAAGCAGAGAAATTTGGTTGCCACAGGGTAGTTCTCAAAGGGCCCACCGATGTGTGCTCAGGGGGTCTTAAGCAATACCTGCTACCCCTGGGGGACCCGGTGGGTGGCTGTCAGCCCCCTGTCAGAGCTGCCCCCACTCACCACCCCGCACAGCTTGCAGTGGTGCTTCCTCTTGGTGATGGAGTTGAAGGTCTCGCCGCAGCTCTTACAGCTTTGTTTCTCCTTGTCACGCTTGGTCTTAGAGGACAGTTTTCTGGACTCCAGCTACAAGGAGGCAAGAAGCTGCCATCAGTTCTGAAGAGCATGTGCACCTTATCCCTCTGGGGGTGGGGGCAGTCATACTGATGTCTGAGCCCTGACATCAGGGCAAAAGTAGACTATGCAGAGAGGGCGAGGTAGAGCCAAGCCAGCCACAGCCCCCTTCCAGCCCCCTCCCCCAGGGGCCAACCCCTCAGTGTAGCATATAGAGTAAAAGTCCGTGGATGAGGACCTTTATGTCTGGGAGAACTTGGTCCATGGCTTCTTTGAAAACATCTCTGTGGGAGCCAAGGGGAGGAAGATTGTGTATGCTGGGATGGGCAGGAGTCTGCACAGACAGTGAACACTGCTGGGGTCAGAGCGGCCCTGCCAGTAGCCCCGGGGCCACGTGGGCCCCAAGATCCTTAGCACCATCCTTCACCCAACACATGCCTGCTCTGTGTTGGGCATTTGGGGCTGTCCATACCCTCCAGGCACTGCACATGCACAGACACACGTGTGTGCCCAATGCACATCTGCCAATAGCAGGGAAGCATCTGGATGGCATGCAAGGAAGCCAAGGCTCACGCTCCTCTGTCTCCAGCAAGGCCACCTGAACTCCCCCAGAGGAAAGTGGGCTGAGGGCAAGAACAGGCTCCCCTGCGGCCTCTAGCTGAGCCTCAGGCCTTGGTTTCCCCCCCTCACCACCAGCAGCGCAAGGCTGGAGACAGACCCGAGCTTCCTGCTGTGCCCTAGGAGACTCTGGAAAGTCCCTTCTCTCTTCTGAGCCCCAGTTTCCTCATCTGTAAGATGGGGTGAATAACTGCTCCCTGCTCCTGAACCTCATTCCAATACATAAATGTCTGCCTGCATTAGGCAAGTCCCCAGATATCCTCTCGTGTCACAAGGACCCCAGAAATGCCACTGGGCAGCTTCCCGTGCTTTTTGAATACCCCCAACACACGTGCCGGTACTTCCTCTCCAGGGAGCAAGGAGGGCTCCTTGAGGCTTCTTACTGCTGACACAGAAGTCAGCATCGTTAAGATTTTTAGAAATGCCAAAGATGTTCATAAAATTCCCAGCATGCCAGAGCTGGAGCAGCCCTGGACGTGTTTACTTCAACCTTTCTGTGCACACACGGGGAGAGTGAGGCCTAGAGACATTTTGTTTGTTTGTAGACAAAACACCTAAAAAAAATAAGCTCTTACTAGTTCTGCTGGGATTTGTTTTAAAAATACTACATTTGAAAAAGTGCGCCTGTGGCAGGGGTGGACCGCAGAGAAACTGAGGCCAGCACGCAGTGGAAGTTTCTAGAGACTGGGGAGGGAGGGGCTCCTTTCCTGCATGGGTAGGGACAAGAAGAGGGACAGGGACGTGGACACCCTGAGAGTGGTGGGTGGAGGCTTCGGGAGAAAGAGCTGAGCTGCTTGGGTGTGGGGAGCCAAAAAGCGCTCAGTGTCAGGCTGAGCACTGGGGCCTGTGATTGGCTTCACTGGGCCTCCCCCGGTTCTTATGTTGAAGCCTCAGTCACCAGTGTTTCGGAATGTGACTATCTGCATACAGGGCCCTTTAAGGCTATATTCGGGTAAAGTGTCCTTGTGGTAGTGTATGACTGCGGTCCTTTTAAGAAAAGGTTGTGGAGACACAGACGCACACAGACACATACAGAGGATGAAGGGAGAAGAAGCCGTCTACCAGCCAAGCAGCAAGGCCTCAGGAGAAACCATCACTGACAACGCTTTGGCCTCGAGCTTAGCCTCTAGAACCTGTTGTTCAAGTCGCATGGGAATCTGTTACTGCAGCCTCAGCAAACCAGCAGCATTTCCTCAGTGCCAGATCCATCCCCGCACCTCCGGCTGTGCCATCCGAGACATGACCCCCATCACTGTCACTGCCTGCAGGTCCCATCACCTGGAGGCCAGGGCCCAGCCACCTGCATGAGGGGCCCAGGGGCAGGGCTGGATCTCTGAGGTGACAGAGACAGTCCTGACGCTGAGCCCCAGGTCTCCATCTCAGGAGCCACTGCTCCAAGGACAAAGGTATGCAATGACCGTGGCCTTCCACTGAGGTTTACCCCACGCTCAGGACCATGGCCAGGACAACAAGCGAGAGGGCAGGTGGGAGTTGGCATCATCCCGGCTCCCCACTGCCTGTGCTTTCCCGGTGCCAGCCTCACCCCCCAACAGCTCTCAGCCCCTGCAGGCTTCTCCTTTGGACCACCTCTCAGGACTGTGGGGGGCAGACATGTACTGAGGTGAGGAGAGAGATTCTGGGGCAAGGAAGGGACAGAGAGAAGGCAGATAATAGGAAAGGGGAAGGAAGCCATCCTGGGGCCTGCAACGGCCCTGCAGTCTCCACCTACCCCCACTTCGGGATGTCCACATCCCTGACTTTCAGGTGAGGAAGCTGAGGGTGCAGGTGGTTTGCAGCCTGGCAGCCCTGACATGTGGCTTTCAGAGACCCTGGGAGGGGCCCACTGCCATGGCAGCACCAGGCACCGCCAGGCAGCACTACATGGTAGCTGAGAATGCAGGAAGCAGTGGGGGCTGTGACAGCTCAGGGTCTGTGGCTGGAGGCTCGGACCAGTGGAAAGCCAGTCCCAGCCCAGGTGCAAGGGGCAGGTCCTGGAGGTCTCCCACAGTCAGGACAGCGAGCCAGGCCAAGGGCTTGGACAAGAACCCAGTTGCGCTGGCTCCCATGAAGCTGAGGACTATAGTCCTCTGTGGCCCACTCTTGCTGTGGCTCTGCCCATGACCACATCAGTACCCCCAAACAGAGGTCTGGCTGGGTGTGTAGCCTGCAGGTGTCCAGGTGGCCAAGGGGCAAGGGGCCCACCTGGATGCCCGGGACAGGTCTCCTGGCCAACCGCACTCCCATCTTGGATGGGGTTATCGGGCAGGTTGACCAAAGGAGTTGGCCCATCGTGGCTATCGTGCCCAGCAGGCCTGATGACAACAGCCTGACCCAGGCCAACTCGACATTGATTGAGGCCTTGACTTTAGGGGCTCCCAAGGATTCTCTCACCAGCCAAAGGGGGTCGGGGGCCAGGAGGAGGAGCCCTGTGTCAGGTATCTGACAGGGGCTCAAAGTCTCTGCAGATGCCGTCGGCATCAGAAAGGCCAGGCCACGTCTTCCCAGGATGTTGGAGAACGGTGGCTTCTGCAATAACCAACGCAGCAACTCCACTGCCAGGGGCCCCAAAGGGGCTAAGGTGGACTCAGAAGGAGGTCTCCACTGAGGGCCAGCAACACCGTTCCAAGTTTCCTCTTCATCAGAGTTAGCTGTACATTAGGAAACCGGAAGGACGGTTCAGTAGCACAGACTCGGACCCCAATCAATAGACCTGAGGAAATGTCACTTCTACCAGCTGACAAAGGGATGCACAACAGGGAGTACATGTGGGCACAAGCCACAAATACAGGGCCACAGGAGAGGCCAGGCCTGGCTCCTCTGCTCCTCCCAGGGCAGCTTTGCCCTGGAGCAAAGGAAGGCAGCCTTCAGCACTGTGGGGGAGCTGCTGGCACAAAAGTGGCCAGAGCAGGTGCCTCATTGGTGTCTTTGATGGGCCTGTGTGTCACCCATAGTAGATCTTGGGGGCAGTGGCTTTCAGATTTCTGGGCTTCTGTTAAGAGCAACTAGACTTTTGCAGAATGAGGAAATTTGAATTCTGCAAGATCTCCTGCAAAACATTTTGGTTGGGATTTAACTTTTCTTAGGAAAGAGGGTCTTACAGAAATGGTATGTTTGGGGCTGGGGATTTAGCTCAGCAGCACAGCCCCTGCCTGGCAAGCACAAGGTTGTGAGTTCGATTCCCGGAATTGAAAAAAAAAAAAGAAGCAGAAATGGTATGTCTAAAGACACCCCATTCAGAGAATTATACCATCACACCGTATTTGGGCACAGTGGCACATGCCTGAATTCCAGCATTCTAGGTAGCAGGAGAATCAAGTCTTGAGCCCAGCCAGGGCAATGTAGAAACTGAGTGAGAATCTGTCTCAAAATTTAAAAAAATATCATAAAAGGGAAAGGGCTGAGGACATATCCCAGTGTAAAGGCTCTCGGTTCAATCCCAGTGTGGCCAAAAGGCAGGAAGGGAGGGAGGGAAGGAGGGAGAAAGGAGGGGAGCGAGGAAGGGAGGGAGGAAAAGGAAAGGGAAGGGAAGAGAAGGAAAAAAGGGGGGGAAGAAAGTGTTGAGTTTGATATCCTGTAGCAAAATCACTGCTTGCTGTCAGAACTAAAACTTGCTTTTGAGCACCTTGTAAATGTCCACTGAGGACATACACTCTGCCTTGTTCGCTCGGTGCAGCCTGACAGATGTACCCAGCCTGGTTCCCACCAAGTTCGGTGTGGCTCCTCGCTGCTCAGGGGAGATACCACAGGAAACACGGGGTGTGCACTGCAGGGCAGGGAGCTTCAGCGCAAGCAGCACTGTTGTTGTGGGGCTGTTTTTGAAGGAGGGGCTGCTGCGGCTTGGTGCAGGTGAAGGGACAGCGACAAGGAGCTAGAGCTGGAATTGTGAACCGAGCAGCTGACTCCTGTAGGATGAAGGCCGCAAACCTGTAGAAGGCCGGGGGAGCGGAGCAGGTGGAGCATCCCCTTGGCCCACTGGGGCCAGTGTCCCCTGCGGGTCTGATGACAACAGCCTGACCAGGCTGACTCTGGACACAGACTGAGGCCTTGACTTTGGGGGCTCCCAGGGATCTCCTCATTAGCCGAGGAGGTGGGCAGCCAGGAGGAGGAGCACCTGTGTCAGGTAACTGACAGCTTCCCTGACCTCCCTGCCCAGGGGAAACTGAGGCTGGGATGGGCAAAAGTTCCGGAGGCCTCAGCCTAGGGTCAGTTCAGCATGTGTGTTTCCGTAGGCTAAAACATTTTAAAGCATAGCTTTCAGGCTCCTTCCAGCTAGAACACCTCTGGTCTGGGCACTGGTCCCCCAGTTACCCTCTACCCTGGGGCTCTAGCTCACATACAAACGCCCCAAGCTGAGGGCCCTTGGGCAGCTCTATGTGCAGCTGTTCTTCCAAACAGCACATGCCCTTCCCACCTGCGGCTTCCCACCCGCGGTCCCGCCACTTGTGCTTCCCTACAACTTGGGGCACTGGAGTCTATCTCAGTCCTGTGCTGGGCTGAGGGCCGGGTAATGGGGGAACATGGAGAGTCTGGGGGTCACCATGAAGGTGGTCAGGGATGCCGGCCCTTGCCAAGGGACATGGGGCTGACTACGGAGCTCACCACACACACATGTGAGCCGCACAGTCCTTGTTCGACCCTATGACGAGCCTTCCTCAGGCAGCACAGTCTGGGCAGTCACACCGCACAAGTGCATGCTGCTGTGCACACATTCCTGAATGCCCAAGAAAGGGATTCATAGAGTCACATGAGTCTAGGCTTGGTCAGCCTCACACACGCACATTTAGCAATTCGGAAAGTTGCTGAGGAGCTGACTGGTGGGAGAAGCATATTTCAGGACCCCTGGGGCAGGCCACAGGGCTTCACAGAGGTGGGCAGAGCAGACAATGTGTGCACAGGCTAAGGGCCTGGTGGAGCACAAGGAAGCTCTGTGTGTGAGTGTGTGTGTGTGTGTGTGTGTGTGTGCGCGCGCACGTGTAAGAAGCCAGCACAGCCACACAAATAGGAAGCCACTCTGGGAGTTGAGATGTTTCTGATATCATCACACCTCCCACAGGCCGCCTTGGAGAGTTTCAGACTTTCTGTCTTTCAGTTTCAACAAAATTTGCCCTCAGCAGGTGTCTGCTCTGCAGAGCCAGGCAGCAACTTGAATAAGGGCCTCACCTCTCGCCCAGTAGGTATTTATCTCTCCCTCCTTCTGGTCATGTTCCCCAAATGCTTCAGCCTTCCAAAGCCTCACGAGCTTCCCCAAGGTTGTGCAATGCATCTGGTAAAGCTCAGGCAGGAACGTTATCCAAGCCACCTGGGCAGAGCCCTCACCCCTCCCTGCAGGGCACCACACTGTTCCAGAGGGGGAACAGTGACAGGGGGTCAGCCTGTCTAAGAGCTAGGGACCTGCTCCTCATGGCCCAGGATGTCCCTGTTCCCAGGGCGAGCCCCTTTCCCCTGCTTCACCTCACGGCCCTCCACCTCCCCTATGAACCAAGTTATCTGTGAGGAAAGCCGAGTAGTAGTGATAACCCTACAGGGTCATGGTCACCAGAGCTGTGGTCAGCGTTTCCAGTCAGGCTGAGTCACTGGCTGGTCTAAGGCTCCTTGGGCATCCACACCTACCCCAGGTGCAGTGAGGCCTACTGCATCGAGAGAGAGAGAGACAGAGAGAGAGAGCAACAGAGAGAGAGAGACAAACAGAACACATGAGTCAGAGATGAAAAGAGAAAGGACAAGCACATGGAGGAGTCAAGCATGTGTGACAGGAAGGGGCTATGCCCAGGGCTCTGGAGACCCCAGGGAGAGGAAGCACTGTGTCTCGGGTGGGCCTGGAGCCGAGCCAGGTGGTCCCCTTACTCTGCCTGAGGCAGAACAGCAGCGGGAGCCAGTGAGGAGCGGAGAGAATGGCCACCCAGGGTGGTCCTGGGCTGTGTGTCACCGTCAGTGCTGGACAGCATGGGCCCCACAGCTAGCACCGCAGCTCAATTATGCCATAAGCACATACGTGCCTGTTCCCATTTAATGTCCCCAGGTTTGGTGGGGGACAGAACCTCCCCAAGGTCACAGATGAGTCCTTGGGCCTGTGCTGCACCTCTGGGAGTGGCACTGTCCTAAGGTGGACAAGAATGTACCTGGACAGGGGTAGGCAGACCAAGTCTCCCTGATGCCAGCTCGGAGTGAGAGGGGAAGGCATGCACCTTCTTTGCATTACTGGGATCCTTTCAAGGACCAGGGATCTCGTAGCTGCATGGTTTATCATGGCATACAAGAGTACAAGTATTCACGGAGCACTCAGAGGATTCTTACACACGCACACTGCTGTGTGCTCACCGTAGGCACCCCCATCACCCACACCAGGAGCCCCAACAGTGACCATCTCGGGGATCTGAGCCATAAGCGCATGGCTTCAGACATACCTGTATACACCTGGGCCCTAAGCAAACAGCAGGGTTCAGGCTGACCCCTGCCACTCCCTCCAGATGGCCCATGTCTGACTCTCCTGGACTCCCAGAAGACCCCTGCTGAGCACAAGTTGTGTATCACTCACCCCTGGGGCACCTCCACTGCCATCAGTCACCACCAAGGGCTCCATGGAGCTTGCGCTTACTATCTGCAAAGGAACAGACAGGCTGAGTGTGAGGTGGTTCCCCATCCTCGGACCCCACACCTTTGTGCATCGCGGCAGGCGCAAGAGGAGGAAGGCATGCTGTCTGACAAATGCCAGACGTGGGGAGGCTGCTCCCTGGCTGAAGGCATCTATGAGGTACAGTTAGCATTCTACAGTGTGGCAGACACCTAAAGATGGTGGCTCCACAGCCCACCCAGATCAGGAGACTCTAAATCACCCAAGTCACAGAGGGAGGACGTCCCTTTGGATTCTCTCCTTGTCCTGAGGGGTTCCTTGTGGAGAGTCCACAGCATCAACTTTCTAATGTTAGGAGGGTCGGCTGACTTTGCATCCTCTGTCCCCAGGTCACCTCATAGGAATCTTCCTTTCCAGGAATGGTGCAGAGTTGTCTTCCAAAATATACCCAGGAAGCAGAAAATATCGAGCAGATTTGATGCAACCAAGTGATCTATAGACAAAGTGAACATGGTGGGGGGCAGCCTGGGTGTGGGCTGCGGTCGCTGTGCTGGCTTGGGAACAGTGGTCCCCCATGCGCTGCCCCCACAAAGGCTGAAGGTGAGGGCACCTCCTTTCCTGAGCACCGCTCCCCAGGTGTCCTTGTTGTAACCTCAGTGCCCCCCAAACACTGCAGGAGGAGCCCTGCCAGGGCGTTCCTTGCAGGAGACAGATCGGCCCCCATGTTCAAGGCTCTGTCCCTGCCTCCGTGGAAACACAGGCAGGAGGGACGGCCGGCTTGGTCCCGAGCCACAGCCCTGTCTTCCCTGTCTGGTTACTCAGCGGGCCCTCCACAGCCTGCCTCTTGCACAACCCAAACCTCCATATAGACTCTGCCCCCTGAGCCCAAGGGCAACTCCCCAAGGGGTGGGGGCATGAGCTGCCACCCCACCTCCATGGTCTAAGCCCGTATCTCCCAGAGTGGGGGAGAAAATACAACTCAAAAGCACGTCTGCAGGGTGGGTGGTGTTTTTGTTTGTTTGTTCTGCTTTGTTTTTTGGCATTGTTTTTGGCATTATCTCAGGGCCTTCACATGGAACTATATCCCCCCTTTTTATTTTTTATGTTGACACAGAGTCCTGCTAAATTGTCAAATTGCCCAGGCTGGGCTGGAACTTATAATTCTCCTGCCTCAGCCTCCCTGAGTGCTGGGATTACGGGTGTGAGCCACCATGCCCAACTGAGGTCTGCAGTTACTGAAATACTCTTGAGATACAGGAGTGCCCTGGCTCAGTGACCACGGTTTCCCTGCCATGGCCTGGATGCATCACTGAGCTTCTGTGAGACTCAGGGTGGCGGTGCAGAAGCGATGAGAGAGCACATGAGCGCACCATAGTCATGGCCTCGCATCAGAGCAGGACATGGGGCCAGGTAGTGCTGGGGAGGCACTAGGCCACCCCTTCTCTCTGCTCCATGTAGACACAGACCTGCAAGACCGCGGGACCCAGCAGGCTGCAGTGGGCTCTCAGTAGTGGGGTGAGTGTGTGCGTGTGCAAGCGTGCGTGGGTGCGTGCGTGTGAATGCACCTGGGAGCTCCCACCCCCGCAGGCAGTCATCCCCGCTCCTGACCCAGGCACTGACTCACAGGTGACTCTGGAGATGGGCTGGGGTCCTCCTCCTGGCTCCAGGTGCTGCCGAAGGCCCTGAAGGTCTCACTGTTCTGCTTGTGCTTCTCGATGGTGGCCTGAATGACCTGGACACAGCAAAGCCACAGGATTGTCAGAGCCAGGAGGACCTCAACCCTGCAGGGGGATATGCCTGGCTCTGTGGGGTCTAGGAGTGCATGAAACATGGCCCAGGCCCCTGACCATCATATCTCTTCTAACTAATTATACAGGCTCTGCCTTGGAGCCTTCCAGATTGACAAGACCGCTTTAGAGAGAGGATACCTCCAGCATGCCCCCTCCTGGTTCATTTAGTTCTCCATCATTATTTTAATTTTATTTTTAGACAAGGTCTCACTAAGTTACTCAGGCTGGCCTTGAACTTGTGGTCTTCTTTCCTGAGCCTCCCACTTAAGGCTCATTCATTTCTACAGATGTATGCGTGGGGAGGGACCAAACTGGCAAATACAGCAAAAGGCTTATGTCATCCGAAGGTGCATATAAAGGCAACCCTGGTCATGGCCTCTCATCAGGGCAGGACACGGGGCCAGACAGGGCTGGTGGAGGGACGGGGCCATCGCTTCTCTTTGCTCCAATGTGAAATGGCCATACGGCTCAATAACTTGGGGATTTGGTTACTTCAAGACTTCAGATAATTTACCTACCTGAATCCATTCTTTCTTCTCCTCTTCTGTCCTATAAAAACAAAAACAGTATTTTTGAATCTGGTCTTGGATGTCATCTATAAACTCCCAGCTTCCTCTCAGTCTTTGTTTGCTTTTTTTTTTTTGGTACTGGGAATTGAACTCAGGACATTTGTCGGGCAGGCGCTGTGCAGCTGAGCTATATCACCAGGCTTTTTTGTTTGCTTGCTTTTTTTCCCTCTCAGTCTTGAGCTGACACCTAACCTAATTCACCTGAGAGTTTGAGAGTTTGGCCAGTGGACACTGGCTTGCTCTGCAGACTCCCTGCAGCGATGTAAATCAGTGCCTCGTGGGCCCCCAGCAGGTAACTCCCAGGTGCTCGTGTCATTGATGGGGAAGGCCGGACCTTCCATACACTGCCAGTCAGAGCCTGGCCTCACAGGGTACAGTGACCATAGCCGCCAAATTTAAGGCAGCAATCTTGATCAGCAATTCTGTCAAATGTATCCAGTGGGCACCTCGACACGTGCACAAAAACCGAAGTATGAGAACACAACTAGCAGCACCACTTGCAATATCAGGACCCAGGAGGAGCCTAAATGCCTGTCTGTGGGAACTGGTTCATGATCATGAGGGAGAATTGCACTGCTCTAAGAACTGGTGCAAGGCTATGGAATGATTCCTGACAAGTCTGATGAAAAAAGCAAGATGCAGACACAGGCTGTACAGCAGCAGCCACTTGCAATGTGATATATGTATGATATATACACACATCTGTTGGGGCTGCGGATTGAGCTCAGCGGCCAAGCACCTGCCTGGCAAGCGCAAGGTCATGAGTTTGACTCCTGGTACCAGAAGAAAAACAAAAACAAAAAACAAAATATACACATCTGCGATGTTCACACAGCAGCAACACTCGTGCGGCCTGCACCATACCGAGTCTGAAGCTCCAGGCACCGCTTTCTTCCCGTCAGGATGAACGTATGTGCTGTGTTTGGCTTCACGATATCCTGCACCTGAAGAACAAAACACAAACACACAAGCCGGCACATTAGCTCTTCCTGAACACCGGCCTCGTGTTCTCTGACTTGCAGGTTTGTCCCCGGGGAGGTGTCAGACATGACCCAGCAGGCTCTGAAGTCTGCAGGGAGAGGACCCTGAAGCTCAAGGTCATGGTGGCTGACGGAGGCCACAATGTGAGCTGGTCCACGGGGGATGGTAGGCTGGGACCGCCTCATCCTCTGTGCCTGGTACACTGCTGACCAAACCCACGGCCCAGCAGGCCTTCTCGAGAAGTTGCCCCAGCCAGCCCCACCCCTACCTTCCCCACCAGCACTGCTAGGCACCACCTCTCTGCAGGAGCTGCATCCCCTAGGAAGAAGTTCTTATGAGAAGAGCCAGGAGGGCCTCGGCCACCCTGCAACATCTGAGCGTATGTGGGCAGGTACCTCTTCGGTTTAAAGACACAAACAGGAAAACTCAAGTCCAGAGAAGTAATGAAGTAGGCGCACTTCTCCCTGGAGTCTCCGATTCCATCCTCTTCACCAGCCCACAGGCTACAGTGGCAGATGGGGTGTTCTTGGGGGTCTCAGGCTGACTTCTATCAGAACCCCTAGCTCCTGACCGGCCAGCTGGTCAGTGACTTTAGGGAAATACATGCTCTGGATGTGCCCAGAACCTCTGGACTCTCTGAACCTCAGGTTAAGAATTGTACTGATGTATCAAAGTCATTAAAACAAGACTAATTCTTTTTTTGTCTTTTTGAGACAGGGTCTCGCTGTGCAGTTCAGCTGGTCTTGAGCTCACTTTGTAGCCCAGGATGGCCTCAAACTCACAGCAATCCTCCTACCTCAGCCTCCCAAGTACTGGGATAACAGGTGTGTGCCACCATGCCAGGTTTAAAACTAATTCTTTTTTGGGGGGGTGCCAGGAATTAACCTAGGACCTTGCTCTTGCCAGGCAGGTGCCGCGCCGCTGAGCTACATCCCCGGCCCCAAACTAATTCTTATAAACACTGAGAAATGGTTTCTTCTAACTACGGGAAAGGTTTTATTTTCTCTAGTTATTGCTTGTCATTGCTTTTCTTCACCCAGATTCAGAGAACTTCAAGGGATCCCCAGAAGGTATCTTTAGGCGTCATTTATGCAAACTTTAACTTTTTCAAGTGATTAAATACTTGGATTTCATCTATGTTTTTGGAGCACCTATGAATTCAAAGCTCTCCCCACAGGGAATAAAATTCCAGCCCCTACTGCTGGGAGACACAAAACAGGCTTGCAGGATAGGAGGTAGCAAGGATGCACAGGTGCTTAAGGGCCCTCTTTAGCTCTGAGCCAGAACAGGAGAGGAGGGAGCTCTGAGCCTGGCATCCAGCCAGGTTAAGCACCCCATGTCCCAATCCAAATTTGCCCCCATGCACAAACATCACCTTTGGAAAAATAAATCACCTTTGGGTCTCTAACTAGGGCCTTGACTCCCAACCTCTACTACTGTGCACCACTACTGCCTATGGTCCCCAAAGCTGGACACTTACTTCCCTATTAACCTCCTAGCTCCAGCCACCCTTCAACATGAGGCCATTAGGGACCTGGCAGATGGGTTAAACCAGAGAGTGGAGAATTCTGCCCACACCAGGGCCAAGATAATGTTCCGGCAGCCTCTCAGTCACAGACAGAACTGTTGGCCAGAGCCTGACATCCCCAACCTTGCTTCATGCCCCTTCAGTGGGTGAAAGGTTTGGGAAAAGGGCTCACCCACCTGGAGACCAGAGATATCCATCTTCTCCCGAACACTGAACTTCTGTCCCATGAGCCGCAGTTTGGGCACACAGTAGAGGACCATGCTGTTGAACTGCAAGAGGGGTGGCGTGGTGAGGGGCCAGGGAGCTGCTCCCATGGGACTCTTATAAGGTCTCCTCTAAGACCGTCCTTAAAAACATATGCACAATCATTTATCTATGTTTACCTCTCTGAGGGAGGAGACTGTGGAGGATATCTTTATTTTTGTCCAGTTCTTATTTTCTGACTTGTCCACCGTGCATATGGCTAATTGTGTAATAAGGAAGCAAATCTTTTTTTTTCTCTCTTTTTTTTTGAGGCAGGGTCTCACTATGCAGTTCAGGCTGGCCTTGAGCTCACTTTGTAGCCCAGGCTGGTCTCAAATTTGCAACAATCCTCCTGCCTCAGCCTCCACATGCTGGGATTACAGGCATGCGCCACCACACCTGGCTAGGAAGCAAACCTTTTGAATGAGCTACTGATGAATGCACAAGCAGGAATGGAACTCACAAACAAATGGACCAATTGAGTGAAGCCAGATGCATCTCATGGCATTTATGTGGCACCCTGGAAAAGTGAAACTACAGAAATAGAGAACAGATCAGTGGTGGCCAGGGGCTGGGGGTAGCACTTGACCACACAGGGTCAGGACAAGGGACTTTGGGAAGTGTAAGAATCGTGTCTTTTCTAGCTATACCGAGAGCTTAGAGCACCTCTCACTGTAATTTCTTTAGGTCTTTTCTCCTCCCTCCAAACCAGGGTCTGGTTCTGGAATAGTTGGAGTCAAGATGTGCTGCTACAGTTAAAAGCCTGAGATGACTGCAGCAAATGGGGTGGAGCTGCTGACAAAAGATGGTGCCAGCAGTCCTAATAGGAGAGGAAGTCCACAGATGATCCTGTCTTTGGGCCATGGAGCACTGCCGGGGCCTGAAGGCGCAGGCAAGGGAGCTCCAGGGCTGGACTGGCAGCTGGGCTCACCAAGAAGAGGTGGCGGTCCTGGGTTGTGCCGTTTTTGGCTGAGAGCTTCTGGATGTGGCCCTCCTTGATCAGCTCGTTGGCTGGGTTGACAATGTCCTCCTCCCCACCCAGTTGCTCATACACTTCCAGGAGCTTGTGCATTTTCTCCTGCAAGAGATGTGGGGTCAGACAGGGGTTGCTGGGGACTAAGGCAAGTGGGACTTTGCCCTGAAACTGCGACCCCCAACCCCAATAGGAAAATGAGCCTATAACAACAGAACGGAGGGACACACTCAAGTCAGATATTGCAAGATGCACAGAAGTTCACCATGCAGAGAGAATAATAATAAATAATAGCAGCTTCCACTGCTATGTGTCAAGTGCAATTCTGTACATGGTATATGCTTTAACCAACTGAATTCTATGAGATGGATGCCATTATTATTCCCAACTTACAGACAAAGAAACTAAGGCATGAAGAGGTCAATCGAGGGGCTGTGATCTGGACTGTGCTGCTAATCTGAGAGTCATCTTCCCCAGGTTAGGGTGACTGGTTGATCACATGGCCAACCAGCACCCTATAGTATGAAGGGACAGGGACAGCAGCTCATGGCCCTGGCCCTGAGCTGGGAGCTAGCACAACAAAAGGTAGGACTGAGCCTGTTGGGACCTCCACAATAGCAGCATGCTCTGGCCTGGGCCTGCTGTGCCTCAGAAGCTGTTGCCCTTCGACTCAAATAACTGCAATCTGTGTACCCGGAAGCAGGTAGTTCAGGGTAGCCCTGCTGTCTGTGCCACAGATGTAGGTAGATGCAAGTGTGTCAAACAGCATAGCACAGGCTACAGGGGGACACTAGCAGGACTGACAGGGCAGGGCTGAGGACTTCGTGGAAATGAGGGAGAATGAACAGGTACCTGGCATATGTACAGCTCAGTGTGCTGGCTTACACCTGGCATGTTCCAGGGGGCTGTGCCTATAGCTGGTAGGTACAGGGGACTTGGGCGTGCATCTAGCCTGTTTTGGGGGGACTTGGCACCCACATGCCTGGCTTGTACTGGAGGTGCTGAGCATGCATCTGGTATGTACAGGGAGGCTGAGAATGTCCTGGCATGTACTGAGAGAACTGGGTGTGCACCTGATGTGTTCCACGGGAGCTGGGTGTTCACCTGGTGTGCAGTGGAGGAGGACCAGATGTGTACCTAATGTGTACTGGGGGAGCTAAGTGTGTGCCTGGTGTGTACTGAGGGAACTGGGCGAGCTTCTGATGAATGCTGGGGATTGGGGGTACACCTGGCACGTACTTCAGGGCGGGCATGCACAGGCTCAGCACATGAGAAGGACTCTGTACTGCCGGTGAATGAATGAATGATGACAACAAGTGCTGACACTTATTATGCCTGCTCCTGTTCAGAGCACACCATATATAGTAATTCTTTTAATACCCATGAAACCCAAGGAGACTAGGTCTGCGAGGGCCCCTATTTCAAAGGTGGGGAAACCAAGACACAGGGTGCGAAATAACTAACCAAAGACTATAGATCTGATAAGGACCCGGCCTCTCCAGCTTGAGACAGAGCCCCTAACCACCCTGGCGACAGGGGTGTGGAAGTACTCACTGATGAGACCCATGGCGGACAGGGAGAAGGTGTCACAGCTCACCCACCCTTGTACTCTCTGCTCCACTCTACACCCCTCCTCCAGCAGCTGCACTCACCATTTTCCGAATGGCCGCGTTGGAATGGTTGGCGGCTGTGGAGATGAGCTCCAGGGACCCTGCAGGGGAACGACCCACATCAGCTGGGCAGGCTGACTCTGGAGCTCAGGCAGCTGCCCCTGGTGGGGAGGTGCTGTCCCTGCATGTGGCCTTTCTCAGAGTGTCCTGGTTCTTCCTCACACCTGGCCCAGGGACAGGGTGATGCCTGTGGCCCTGCAGATATGCCCCACTTGCTGGGGACTTGCTGGGGTCAACGCCATGTGGGAGACCCCACTGTCCTACACCGACTCCTTCTTGTGGACCCATGGCTGGACAGAGACATTTGGGCAGCACTTTCCCCAGAACCAGCATCCTGGTCCCAGGACAGGAAGGGGGATTTTCCTTTACCCGACTCACTACGTCACTTCCTGACCTGGAAGTGGGCCTGGTTTGGGGCCTGGTTCTCTTTGTTCTTTCTCAATGTCTCTGTCTGTGTCTCTGATTCTGCCTCTGTTTATCTCTCTCCCTCCCCCTCCTTCTCTCTATCTCTTTGCGTTTCTATCTCCTGGCATCTCTCTCTCCCTTCACCGTCTCTCTGTTCCTGATTCTTTCTCCTTATCTCTCCTCTATTTTTCTATCTCTTTGTGTCTGTCTCTCTCTCCCTTTGTCTCTGTCTCCCTTGTTTCTCAATCTTTCTCTGAATCTCTCTCCTTCCTCCGCTGTTTTTCTTTATCTGTCTCTCCCTTTATCTCTCTCATCTGTGGCCTGTGTCTCTTTCCTGCTTCCCTTTTCCCTACCCCAGGGTTCACAGCACCCCCACCCCCTCTCAGGACCCCTCAGCCTGGTGGCCACCTCTACTCACTCTCAGCATCCTTGCGGTCTGGGGAATCCTCGGGGAGCCTCCTCAAGTAGTCCTTGAGCAGCAGCTCATAGCGGGGGACCCTCTGGACGGGCTCTAGCATGTGGTGCTGCAGCGTCAGGTTCCCGCACACCTCCTGCTTCTGCAAGAGGGAGGGCAGCGTGGGCACCTAAGGACACATATGGCCAAAACAGCCCCCAGGGGGTTGCCCAGGCCTGCCTGCTCTTTAAGACCCAACCAGCATGTTCACCATTTACAACTGGGGAACTGAGGCTTGAGCAGCTGCACCATGGCGCCATAACCAGAACCCAGGTGCCTGACTCTAGACCCACAGCTTGTTCCTTTTTTTTGGTGCTAAGAATCGAACTCAGGACCTTGCACTTGCCAGGCAGGTGCTTTTGCTGCTGAGCTATATCCCCGGCCCTACACCTTGCTCTTTATACACATTCTCATTGCAAAAATAATGCAGCAACAAGACTGCCTCTTCCCGCAAGAGTTACTGTCCCCAGCTGCACTCGCCATGGACAGGAGCTGAGGTCCTCTCCCTCTCTGCTGAGCTTTGCCCCACGTGTCCTACAAGAAATCAGGTGGGGCCCCTCCTCATGCCCAGAAGTTGTCCTGAGAGACCTCTCATTATAGAAACAAACGTAGACATTTGGGCGGACAGGCAGGGTGCCATGACCCGGGTGGCCAGGGTCCGCCCCTCCCGGCTGGCAGCTCCCAGCACCTCCCACCTCTCTCTGACTCACAGTTCCCTCTTCCAGAGCTCCAGTAGCAACTCGCTGCTCCCCTATACCCTTAATCCAGCATCATAGCCCCAGATACATACAAGGGGTGATCCAAATATACAGTGAGTGTTTACATTCTAAAAGTGTATTATGGTGAAAGACACATTGCCATTAATCCTCCTCAAAATAGTTCCCCCAGGTCGAGGGTACAGCTCAGCGGCACAGTGCCTGCCCGGCAAGCTTGAGGTCCTGAGTTCAATTCCTGGTATCAAAAAAAAAAAGCTCCCCCCTTTTCCAGTGCACTTATCCCACCCTTCTTGACAGTTCTGGAAGTTTTCTTTCTTTCTTTCTTTCTTTCTTTCTTTCTTTCTTTCTTTCTTTCTTTCTTTCTTTCTTTCTTTCTTTCTTTCTTTTTGAGACAGGGTCTTGCTATGCAGTTCAGGCTGTTCTTGAGCTCACTTTGTAGCCCAGGCTGGCCTCAAACTCGCAACAATCCTCCTGCCTCAGTCTCCCGAGTGCTGGGATTACAGGCGTGCACCACCACACCCAGCAGTTCTCTTTCATGTCTTTACGAGGTGTGATAAAAAATACAGTGGACGCTGCTGACGAGCGCCATCCAGTGGAAGTGGGGACAGGTAAAAACACTACGGTGTGTCCTCACTCTCCTTATTCACTGGATCTGATGCCATGTGACTTCTGCCTCTTCTCCTAAGTCAAACGACCTCAAAAGGTAAATGTTTGGGATCAACTGAAGACATCGAAGTGGCCAAGAAAGCTCAACTAAAGACACTCATGAGAGAAGACTTCCAGAAGGGCTTCAGAAAGTACCAAGAACTATGATAGAAGTGTGTCCAAAGCAAGGGGGGTGCTTTGAGGAGGATTAATGACAGTGTATCTTTCACTTTAACAAAGTGGTTTTTTAAAAGTCAACATTCACCGTATATTTTGTTCCTACTGCACACATACCAAAAGCCATTACCCCATCACAGCTGTGCTCCGCTTGGGGTTTCCTGAGCCCCCTTATTTCCTCCTCCCCTGGCAATGCTCACTCAAAACATCTTGGCTAAGTAAGGACCCGCTGCTTCTGTCCCACCGCCCGCTAGCTTCTGCCATCCGCCCCCTGCATCTCGAGGATCCCAATCATTTTCATCTGCTCCAGGGCCAATAACTCTCAGCTTAGGTGAGCTCAGAACTGCTCTGGATACAGAAGGGCCAGTAACAGCCTTTTTTGCAAACTTTGTGATGATGAGGAACAGAATAGTCACGTGACTTAACAGTTCTCCCCACAAGAAGCTTAGGAATAGAGAGAGAAAAACCTGACTTCCTGTGCCACCCTTAATGAAGTGAGAATTCCTAGAAAGGGGGCAAGTGGAAGATGTGCATGGCCAGGCAGGGCCCAGTGAGAACACGACCTCACTGCACTCGAACACACAGCCTGTGCCAGATCATGGATGATCAGCAGATGAGCCCAAGCTCTCCTGGGGGAGACCAGGACAGAGGCCTGTCCTAGATGAAAGAAGACGTGAGATAATGAACACAATGGGTGGTTTTAGGTTGGTTATGGACCAGCAAAAAAATGTCATTGGGACAACTGGTGACATTTGAGTGTGGGCTGTGGAATAAATAGAACTATATGATATCGGTGCCAAAATTCTTGATTTTGATCACCATGCTGTGGTCACATGGGAGAATATCCTCATCCACTTTTAGCAATAAAGGGCTACGGTATCTGCAGCTAAGCCAAAAAACTCAAAAATAATCACATATACGCCTTTAGAGAGAAATGTGAGCAGGATACAATGTTATCTAACAGTTTGCCAGTTTGGCAACTCTTGAGTAAAGGTTAGAGATTATTTAAAAATAAAAGTTTCAATAATTTAAAATTTGCTTTGGGTTGAACAAAGGAAACCTTCCAAGACCATGGGAAACTTGACCGTGACCTGATCCCATTTGGGCTGTGCTGGGGTTTTTCAGTCTTGTTCCACACACATGAAGGGTGGAGGCTTTTTTCCTGTGGGCCATCCTGAGCGCTGCAGGGCATCCTCAGCTCCCGCCGGAGCAACACCAGTGTCTACGGACAGGGCCCAGGTCTTTGGGGCAATGTCCCCTGCAAAGAATGGCTGTGCTGGGCTGAGTCTGAGGCACAGAGCCTTCCCACGGTGGCCTGCTGTGCCCAGGACCTGATGTCTGCCCAGCTATCAAGACACATGGCAGCCAGCCTGTGACCATAGGCTGTATCTGTAACAAGTGTCCCCAGGCAGATGTTGCTTGGTATAGTACAGTGCCAGGGTGGCCATTGCAGATAACCGTCTGTCATCTTGGTCTCACAAGTGTCCCATCCCCTAAGGGACTGCAAGAATTTGGTCTGTGCTGTGTGGATAGGAAAACTAGTCCATGCTGGGCCAAGCACTGTCTCACTACTCAGGGGTACCTGCTCGAGGAGCTCCATGGCACACACATGTCACCATGCTATGTGATCATGTAAATATTTTAGTGTCAAAACATCTCCCCAAAGGAAGTCAAACTCCCCAAAGTACACCCTCCCCAGCTGGATGGGCAATGTGAGAAGAAAAGCAAATGACTCTTAATTATGTCCTTTTTGCCCTTTTCTTCCTTAAAACAATCAAAATAGATATCAATTGGCTAGTGAAAATTTAGACAGAGTTCACCTTCCTCAATGATAGCATTTTGCTGAGGATGACGACAAAAACAATGATGGTGAGAATGATGACGGAGGAGGAGGCGGTAGGGGAAGAGAAGAAAAGGAAAATAGTAAGCTTCAGTCTCAGGGCTGAGAAGGATACCTAGGCCAATTGGGGCCAGAGTCAGAGGAAACTGGGGACCCCAGCCGAGGTCTCTCTTGATTATTTACAATGCACTGGCAAAAGACTATAAGAAAAGACACCCGGAACTGTCCTAGAAGCAGCATTTTGTCCTTGTCTCCTCTGCAGGGGTGCAGAACCATAGCACGTGTGTGGCCCACAGGCTCTGTCCTCTCAGATACCCACTTGGTGGGTCCGCATCTGCCCCGCTGGCCTGGCTGTCACCACAGCTGTGCGTGGCTGGAGCTGGCCCCACGATGTGGGCAGCATAGGCTCCCAGACAGGTGACACGAGTCCTGCGGCAGCTGCTGAGCCAGTGAACGTGGAGCTGGAGGTTCATACCCTGTGAACCACAAATGCTAATTTGTGCTGCTAAGCCCCCATTCCCCATCTGTGAATGAGGAATGATCATTTGTCCCTGGGAGTCATGATGAAGGTCAAAGCATCAATGCAGCATCCAGACACGTCCCACAATTTTACTGATTGCCCCCCAAATTTCAATGAACACATCCACTACTTTTGGGGATGCAAAAATACAACTTTACACATGCATGCACACACATGTGCATGTGCTCGCGCACACACACACACAGCCCCGTGTGTTTTGAGGCTGCCTGCTCGCAGCCACCTACCTGGATGCTGTGGACAACATCCTTAAAGGGCTGAGAGCGCTGGGTCCATGAGCTCACCAGCCCCACCGCCCGGTCAAAGTTCTTCACGTACTCCCCATACATCTTCAAGAATGGGGCCAGCTTCTGCAGGATGTCCCCAAGCCGGGGGTTTGTGTCCCTTTGTCGGGGAGAAAGATCATCAGAGAAACAGCCTGGGTGGGAGAACAGCTCCTGAGGTTAGGGGACATGAACGGACGAGGCAACCACCTGACTCCCGGCACTGTGTGGCGGTGGGCACATTGGTCACTCTATCTGAGCCCATTTCCTCCTCTGTGTCATGTAGGGTAGAACATAGTATGTTACTAGGAGATTAAAGAATAGGAGGCCAGCCGGGCCTGGTGGTGCAATGCCTGTAATTCTAGTATTTTGAGAGGCTGAGTCAGGAAAATCACAAATTTGACTCAACCCAGGTAATTCAGTGAGTTAGGAAGACTCTGTCTCAAAAAAAGATGAGATGTGGGTCAGTGTCCTCAGCATGCCCTCCCCCAAAAAAGAAGAAGAAGGAAAAAAGAAACTATCTTTAAACACCTCAACAGGGCAGACTGAGACCCACTGCTCAAAGAAGAAGGCAGTGAGTTATCAAAGAGGAGCACTGAATAACCATTTTGTGCCTTGCTTCTCTTCCTTCCTTCCTTCCTTTCTTCTTTCTTTCTTTCTTTCTTTCTTTCTTTCTTTCTTTCTTTCTTTCTTTCTTTCTTTCTTTCTTTTTCTTTCTTTCTTTTTCTTTCTTTTTCTTTCTTTCTTTTGCTGATATCAGGATTTGAACCCGAGGCCTTCATACTGAGCTACATCCCCAGCCCTTTTTTAATTTTCAACTTTGAGACAAGTTCCTGCTAAGTCACAATGTTACCCAGGCTGAGCTTGGACTTGGGTCATCCCGTCTCAGCTTCCCGGAGGGCTGGGATTACAAACATGTGCTACCACACTCAGCTTATTTTGCATCCTTTAATGAACAAAGATTAAAATCAATGATTCTCTCCAATGTTGTCAAGGTCACAGGAAGAGTAACACTTTGCAATATTAATAATAAAACTTACTGATGTTTTGAGACAGGGCTTTATAAGTAAGTCCCGAGAAGTGAAAAACATTAATAGCCTTTTACATTAGGACATTTTATTGGAGATTTACTCTAAGTGAATAAGTAAAAACAAAGAAAAAAAAATCCATACCCACAAAGCCATTGCTACACATTCCTACCATGGTACACACAACCCTTTGACTGAAAGGCCCAGTAACAGAGCAGGGTGGGTGAGGGCTTGGACTCTTGTGCCATTGTCATAAAAGGAGCCAAGGAGGCCATACACACATTTATGGTTGAGTCTCCAGTGCCTGGAAGAAGATAGCTTGTGTCTTCCAGGTGTGGACTTCATCAACCCGAAGATTTATACCCAGCCCCAACCACCTTGGGGACACCACGCAACCTGCTCTGCAGTTGGATCCTGTCCTGAAGATACACAAAGTGACCGAGTCCAGACCTTACCTACAGACAAAGATGCCCCAGCCATGCTCCCTGGCTCTGGGCTCAGGGGACACCTCAGGGAAGCCAGGGCTATAAGGGACCAGACAGCAGGGACCCTCAGCAAACTCTGGATGTCTGTTATGATTTGTGTCTAGATGTCCCCCGAAAGCCTCCTGCAGTCATGTGGCAGGCTTCTAGAGTTTATGATCGATTCATGGTCCAATGCAGGGATTTTTTTTTTCCTGGTCCCAGGAATTGAACTCACAACCTTGCACTTGCCAGGCAGGCACTGCGCTGCTGAGCTAAATCCCCAGCCCCAATGCTGGGATTTTGGATGTGAGTGCTACACTCCCCCTAGAGCATTAGTTTGCATACAATATATGGGAGAAGAGGCTTATGTTCTGCTTTTGCTCTTGTTGCTTTTGCTGTTTTCCACCGCCCTGAACTGTTCTCCTCTGCCATGTGCCACTTTGCCTTGGAGCCAGCCAAGTATGGACTGAAACGTCCACAAACTGCGAGTTAAATAAACCTTTCCTTTCTTAATTTTGGGTGTCAGGTATTTTGTCCCAGCAATGAGAAGAAAGTGACTGAGACAGTGTCCCAGCATGGGAGCAGGCCAGGAAGAGAGAACTGGTGATGCTTCACTAATTAGCTACACCCTGCTAATGGGCAAGAGGGGCGAAGGGGCAGAAGGAGGGAGGCTCTGCGGTATACTGTCAAGGCAAAGCTGGCCTCCATGCTGGGGGGGGGGGAATAAAACCAACCAGCACTTCTTGTTCTGTTTTGTATTTCCAGACATAAACATGCATTTATTTAAATCACCTAAATGCATTCTGCCTCATCAGCTTCCTGTGAAGCTAAGACTTGGAGACACTAAGAGGCTGGTCAAGGGCACCCACCAGGAAGGGGTGGGGCTGGGATTGGCCCCAGCTCCTGGCAGCGAAGGAAGGTGCGTGCCTAGCCCACCATGAGATAGTCCCCCAGGTGCCTGCCGGAATCCCAGGCAAAGCAACTCCAGCTTAGAGGCCCCAGGGGCGTCAGGCGGTGTGGACGTTACTCACCACTCCTCTGTAATCCTCGTCCGCAGCTCAGGCAGCAGGAACTGCCCATGGAAGCGATAGATGGAGGAAATGTTAGAGAAGATACCAGTTGTAACTTCTGGAGGGATCCCCGCTTCTGTGAGCCGGGTGCAGAAAACCTGGGCACAGAGAAGCCCACCACGGTCACTGAGTAGGTCCACTGTGGACAGTGACACAGGGTGGGCACCTGGGCAGGGCTCTACCTATGTTCTCTTAATGAACGCCAGTGCCATTGTGTTCCCTTGTCATCAGACAACCTCATGGCCTTAACACAGCTAGTGAGGGAGGCAGGGGCAGCCCTGGGGAAGGGGCAGGACATCTTTCCTCTTCTCCCTCTCAGGAGCATTGGGAGGCTGACATTTCCTTTTCTGTCACACGAGATAGCAGTGGGAGCAACGCACTCTGTCAAACCCTGCTTTCCACAGATGCTTCATTTCCTGTGCTGTGTTACCTGGCAGACGGGGATGAGTAGCACCCACTGTTCCCAGCTAGTTATGCAGAAAAGTGGCCAGCATCTACCCACGTGCTCAGGTAATGCAACTACCAAGAAGAAATATCCCCAAGAGGATCAGACAAAACCCTTGTCCCAGAGCCACAAGCACTGAAAGCAAAAAAAAAAAAAAAAATTTTCTAGACCACACTTAAATTTATCTGAGTTTTAGTATCAAAGCCATTCACGTCCCAACTGTAATGCCCAACTTGTGCTGAGAGGTAGTGTATCTGTCCCTGAAACTCAGTGTTCGCCCAGTGGAACTCCACAAGTGGACCAAGATGGTGCCTCGAGCTGTGTGCACTTTGCTACCTGGTCCAGCAGGTGTAGCCTCCTCACGTAGGTCTCCTCGGTGTGCAGGAGCTCCTGGGCAAGGTGGAGCAGCTTCTGGGGGTTGGAGCACTGCAGAGAGAAGGGCAGCAAGTCACTGGGGGTGGGCTGGAGAAATGCAGCCAACCTGGGCTTCCCTCTGTGCCCCAGGATGAGCAGCGGCCATCGACAAAGTTGCTCACTGGGCCTGGGCTTTGCTGTTTAGTTCTCTTAAATGCAATTTCTGTTTCTGCCAGAACGGCAAGGTGACTGCAGCCCAGAGATGATTCTACCTTCTCAGAGGTTTTTTTTTTTTTTTGTCTTTTTGAGACAGGGTCTCACTATGCAGTTCAGGCTGGCCTCGAACTTGCAGTGATCCACCTGCCTCAGCCTCCCAAGTGCTGGGATTACAGGCATGAGCCACCATGCCCGGCCTCCTCGGAGTTTTGCTGCAAAGCAGCTACAGCAAACACATCAAAATTGACTGCAGGGCTGGAGATGCTGTTCAATGGTACACTGCTTGCACAGAATGCATGAGGCTCTGGGTTCCATCCCAGCACCATCAAAAAACCAAACCAAAATGAAAAAACAGTGATGTCAGCAAGGAAGATGGCAGGTTAGGAAACAGCAGGCTTCCTTCTCCACAAAGACATGGGTTTGACAGCCATACGTGGAGCAGAAAACCTCTAACGGAATTCTAGAGACCAATTGGAAGCTACAGCACCCACGATTGCAAACCCAAGGAGAAGCTCCGGCAAAGAAAAGCTGGCGACATCTGGTGTGCCTGCCTTAGTCCATCTGTGCTGCAGATAATAGAATACCTAAGAATGCGTAGTTGTTAAACAATAGTCTAAGGCTGTGCTACCTGCAGTTTTTGTGTGTGATCAAGGCCAGGTTTCTGTTTCCCAACATCTTGAATACTTGCCCCTGTGTGGGAAGCTCTACCTCTGCATGAAGCCGGTGCACAAAGACTAGGAGAGGTGGTTTTCTCAGATCCCACCCCCGCAAAAAAAAAAAAGCACAAGGCATACACGAAACAGGAAATATGGTCCAATTAGAGGAACAAAATAAACTCCCCTCAAACCAATCTAAAGAACCAGATCTGTGAACTACTTGAGAAAAAAAGTCCGCACAGTTGGATACTCTGTAAAGTTGCAGAAAGAGGTAGAAGAGAACACAGATAACTACACACAGTCAGGAAATGATGCATGAACAAAAAGTGTCAACTAAGAGATTAAAAACTATGCAGGGCTGGGGATATAGCTCAGTGGCACAGCGCCTGCCTGGCAAGGGCAGGGTTCTGAGCTTGATTACTAATACCAAAAAACCCAAAAAAACAAAAACACAAGAAAACCAAACTACAAAAAAGAATGAAACACATTCTGGGGCTGCAAAATACAACAACTGACCTGAGAAATTCATAAAAGGAGTTCAGCAGCAGATTTGATCAGACAGAAGAATCAGAAAACTTGAAGGGTGGTCATTAAAAATCACAGAGTCAGAGGAGCAAGACAATGGAGAAAAGCAAACAGGCCACACGGGACTCATGGGGTGCAGTCAGATGACCCAGTCTATGCGTGTGTGAGGCACAAAGGATGAGGGAGAGAATGGGACAGAGAATTTATTTGAAGAAATAAGGGCTGAAAAATCCCCAAATCTGAGGAAAGAAATGGACATGCAAATTCAAGAAGCTCAAAGAACTCCAACCGAATAAATCAACAGAAAACTATACACAGATAAGCTATAATTAGACTGTCTAAAGTCCAAGATAATCTCGAAAACAGCAAGACAGAAGTAATGTCTCATACATAGGCACTTCCATAAGGTTCTTAAGGATTTCTCAGGGGAAATTTCCCAGGCCAGGAAGGAGTGGGATGATGAAGTGTCGAAAGAAAAAGAAAAGCTCAGCTGCCGGGGATGTGGCTCAGTGGTACAGTGCCTCCCTGGCAAGCACGAGGTCCTGAGTTCAATTCCCACTACAAAAAAAGAAAAAAGAAAAAGCTCAACCAAGAACACAGTATTAGGCAAAACTGTCCTGAAGGAGAGGGCTGGGATATGGCTCTGTGGTAGAGTGCTTGACTACCGTGTGGGAGGTCCTGGGTTTCATCCCAAAGACCATAAAAAGAAGGAAGGGGCCAGGGATATAGCTCAGCGGCATAAGCACCTGCCTGGCAAGTGCACAGTCCTGAGTTTGACTCCAGGTACCCACCCCCCAAAAAATAGAAAAGGAGGAGGGTGGGAGGCAAATGGGGAGCGGGGAAAGGCCAGGGAGGGGGAAGAGAAATTAAGACTTTCCCAGATAAACAAAACTGAAGGGACTTTATTACCATTAGATCTGCTAAAAAAATTTTTTGAAAGGAGTCTTTCAGGTTGAAATGAAAGGATGACAAATGGCAACACAAACCACATGATAATGTAAGATTCTTCAGTAAAGGTAAGTACAGGGACAAATATAATAATCTATGCTATCACAATTTTGATGCAAAGAGTTAAATTACAAGAACATAAAGGAAACTTTAAATCTATGTTAGTTGGTATACGACATATAAAGATGAATTTGCAGCATCAATGGCAGAGCAGGGTGAGGGAGAGTTAACTGTAAAGGAAGTTATTAAAGTTGTTATCCATATAAAATCAAATGCTATAAATTTAAGGTATTTTAAGTAACCACAGTTGTAGCTACAAGAATAGCTATAGAATATGCACAAATGGAAATGAAAAAGGAATCAAAATAATCAGTGCCAAAAAAATGAAAAGAGAAGGAAGACAGTGAGAGATGAAAACAGGGATACAAAGAGGTGTAAGACATAAAGAAAATAGGGCCAGGGATATAGCTCAGCAGCATAGCACCCGCCTGGCAAGCTCCAAGTCCGGAGTTCAAGTCCTTGTACCAAAAAGAAAAAGACATAGAAAACAATAGAGTGGCAATTGTAAGTCCTTCTCCATCAATAATTGCCTTAACTAAAATAGATTAAATTTATTTTACTCTATTTCAGCCCCAATTAAAAAAAAACAAAAACATACATAAGGTCTGAGGGTATTGCTCAGTAGTAAAGAATTTGCCTAGCACACACAGGTCCTAGGGTTTGATCCCCAGCACCACACACATGGATTTAGATTGGCTGAATGAACTAAAAGAGTGGTATCTAACTATATGCTGTGTATAAGAAACTTACTCACTTTGGGTATGAAGACATACATGAACTGAAAGTGGAAAGAGTGAGCTATTCCACGCAAATGGTATCCGAAAGAAAACAAGAATGATCATGTGTGTAGCAGACAAAATAGACTTTAATTGAAAAAGCAGGGGATGTAGCTCAGTGGTAGAGTGTTTATGTAGCAGGCACAAGGCCCTGAGTTCAATCCCCAGTACCAAAACAAAAGAAAGAAAGAAAGAAAAAAGAAGAAGTATTACAAGCAGCAAGGACACTGTAAATGATAAAAATGCCAAGTCACCAAGAAGACATAATAATTATGAGTATTTATGCACCAAGCCTCAGAGATTCTAAATATATGGAGCAAATTTTGATAGATTTGAATGGAGAAATAGGTACCAAGAAATGAAAAGTTGGAAATTATAATACCTCACTTTTTCTTTTTGTTTTTTTGAGGCAGGGTCTCACTATGTAATTCAGGCTGGCTTTGAGCTCACTTTGTAGCCTAAGCTGGTCTCAAACTCGCAACGATCCTCCTGCCTCAGCCTCCCGAGTGCTGGGATTACAGACATGCACCACCACCCCTGGCAGCACCTCACTTTCAATGATGGATAAAACAACCATATAGAGGCTCATTAAGGAAATTGGAGACTTGAAGAACACTATAAACAATGATGCTTAACAGAAAAATATACAACACTCTGCCCAACAATACCATAATATACATTGTCCTTGGGTACATGGAATATTCTTCAGAGTTAAGCATCAAACAAGTCTTAACAAATTCAAGGGGACTGAAATCATCCAAGTATTTTTCTAGCCATAATGGGATGAAACTAGAAAACAATAACACAATGAAAATCCACAAATATGTACAAAGTAAATAATATACCATTAAACAACCAATGGGTAAAAGAAGAAATCACAAGTGAAATCAGAAATACATTGAAACTAAATGAAATTACAATATTCTTATAAAATCCAGCAAAAGTAATGCAAAGAAAGATATTTATAGCTATAAATATGCACATTCAAAGAAAAAAGATCTTGAATCACCACTCTAAATTTACATATCTAGAAGCCAGAAAAAGAAGAGTAAGTTAAACCCAAAGCTAGCAAAAGGAAGCAAACAGCAAAGATGAGAATAGAGATAAGTGGAACAGAATGGCAAAACAATAGAGAAAAAAATCAATGAAATTAAAAGTTGGGTTTTTTAAAAGATCAACAGAACTGGCAAACATTTAGCTAGATTAGCTTACAAAAAGAGAGAATAACTGAAATCAGAAATGCAACAGGGAACCAACCGGGCATGGTGGCCCATGCCCGTAATCCCAGCACTCAGGAGGCTGAGGCAGGATGATCACTGTGAGTTTGAGGCCAGTTTGGACTACAAAGTGAGCTCAAGGCCAGCCTGAACTGCATAGCGAGACACTGTCTCAAAAAAAAGAAATGCAAGAGAGAAGATTACAATTATCACCATGGAAATGAAAATTTATAAGAGATACCATGAATAAACATATCCCAATGCATTATATCACCTACAAGAAATAAATAAATGCATAGAAACACGCAATCTGTAAAGGCTGAATTATGAAAAATGGAAACTCTGAAAAGATCAGTAATACATAAGGATGTTGAATCAGTAATCAAAAACTTCCCAGCAAAGAAAAATTCAGGACCAGATGGCTTCACTGATGAATTCTATGACAGATTTAAAGAAGAATTAACACAAATCTTCCTGATACCCAATTTCAAGAGGAGGGAATACTTGAAAGCTCATTAAATAAAACTAATGTTATCCTGATACAAAACCATACAAAACACTACAAGCAGAGAAAAATGCAAGCAAATATCCTTGATGGATATTGACCTCAAAACCTCAACAAAATACTAGAAAACCAAATTTAATGGCATATTGAAAGGATTAAACCCCATCAG